CCCCAAAACCCCAAAACCCCAAAACCCCAAAACCCCTAAAAGTTCATAGAAAATTGAAAGATATGATCATTTAAATCACCCAAATATTTAACTTAGGACACTTAAACAATCAAGAAGCCGTCATACTCTGCTTCGTTGTCATCATTCATTTGTATTGGTTCCTCATTGGGATCTTCCTTCTTAGACAAGAAGTACTTGACTAGCTCCTTGTATTCATCAATAGTGAAGACATAATTGCAAATTTCTTCTTTATCTTCATAGTTATCAAAAAAGTACTTAGTGACAAAAAAGTAGAGGTCCTTCTTCTCAGCATTGTGTAGCTCATCTTTGATCCCTTTGAACACACTCCATGGGATCTTACCAGTTGAAAATCCTTCCTTTGCGATCTTTGGGAAGAGACCTTGGAAAAAATCTGGGTTCTTCAGACCCCAGCATGCCAGCTCACTCACAAAAAATTCAGTGAATGATTCAGCCTCTAAGAGTTCAGCAAGAGAAATATTGTTTTTGATTATACATAAAAGGAAAGGACGGACAACTCAAGCTCTTTTATTTTCTCTTTCTGTTTCAGATATTATATCAGTCGTAAAAGTAGCAAGAGATGCAAAAGTACACTGTAGAATTTCCTTAAACTCAGGAGTTAGTAATTCTACTTCATTGATGGTACAAGTGTTCCTGTAAACTTCAGTAAAAATATCCATTGCGCAATTGATTGCATCTTCTAAGTTTTCTGACTCAGGTAGATCACCATTAATGATATCAGAAGCGAAAAGAAGTATTCCAGACAAATATTCCTTCCAAACTTTAGATGGCAATGCGTAACTCTTCACAAATGAGAGATATTGGACGTATTTATGGATATTATCAGCATGTCTGGTACCTTTCTTTATGAACTCTAGAACAATGGCTTCCAGTTCTTCCAAAGTCACAGCAATTCTTGCCTCAACTAACATATCAAGGGTAACTGATAAACTCTTGAAATGCCTACTTTTCCATCAGCATAATAAAAGTCTTTCTGTAGAGATAGGATCTTCTGACATTAGCTCAGAATGTTGAATAAGATACAAAACCGCTTGATCAAGAGGTCTCTGTTTGATTACCTTCTTGTAAGTATTAACAATATTTTGTTTCATCTTCTCCAACCTCTTGTCAGTATCACTTTTATGCTCAGTTTTTCTAGATTTACGTCAGACTTTCTTCAAAAAGTATAGGCTCAAATTATCCAATAAAATATCAAAGAAACTCTAAGACTCTCTAACAATCCTATTTATTCCCTAATATAGTTTTATTTAACCACTTATCAAATACAAATCAAAATTACAAAAATAAGTCCTTAAATCCCCCAAAACCTCCTTTCTCCTTACTTTTCTTCCTTCTCCAGACTATCTCCTTCCTCAAATTCATAGTCTGGAACAATTCCTTTCATCTGAGTTTTAATTTTCTGAACTTCTTCATAGTTCTTCCAGGCTTCTTCTACTTTGTCATTGAATTTCTGCACTCTCTTGGTGTCCTTAGTGGGCTCTTCTGAAGGCTGCATTTTTATTGGGATTTCTTCTATAATATTAATAAGAAGAGGGGTTTTGGGGTTTTGGGGTTTTGGGGTTTTGGGG